TGTAGGTGTTTCGCAATGACTTGATATTTTGACAGCATAGGAGATGCTATCAACCACATGCGTGGTCTAGATTTTCCTATTACATTTTGTTTTTGTGGCCCATCTCTTGCAGTTGTCTTTAGATCTACATATATAGCAAAAAGACTCTATACACTTAGTTACAGGTTTAAAACTTTGGAGTAGGAAATGCATGAAATACATGCCTATATTTTTACCCTCACTTGTAGAAATAGAAGAATCAAGTGTTGTCTCAGAAGAGTGTTTTGGTTTTTTCCCCTCTATATCATTTTCCTGCTTTTGAGTAAATGCAGCCGAGTGGGAGATAAGATGGATGGACAGAAAATCTCACCTAACAAATACATTATTTAAATAATACAATAATAGGGAATCTGGGAAAGACAACCCTAACTCCTTCTGTAGCTCCCCAAATTAAGCGGCGATTACCCTACAGGTGAGCTTCACAAAGCCCAGTGTTTGCTTTGGCAGGCCTGAAGCAGCCATTGGTGTAGGCAGCTCTGTAGAGTTCTATCTTGAGATCCAGCAGCAGGAATAGCAAGGTGTGATGTGATGTGGGTAGTGGGTCACTTTTTGAAACTTGTGCTTTTAACATAACCATTTAAAATTCAACAAATTTGGTAGATATACAATGGAACAGAATATAATGCATGAATGTAGGTTCATTAAATTAATGCATTTTTTGAAAAACAAAATATGACAGAACATTTCATTATTGACGCAGATATGAGAAAAAGTGTTATGCTGCTATTTAGAATGTGTCTTGTGTGTCGTGGAACTGAAATATTTCCAAATCATCAATAATTAAAATGATGAGAATCCATCATTTCACTGACATTTACTTCTACGTGAAAAGATGGCCTATTTTAACTGTGCTCACACATATTCTTGTCAATCACAAGCTGTCACAGCAAATTATTTCATTTTGTAGATCACATGACAGTTAGCAGAAAATCTCGAGGTTTAAATTTACATCTTAGGTGTAGTATCAAGAACTCTTTTCAGGGATTTTTTTTTTTTTTTCTCCCTGTAAGTACGTTTTCACAATGCAGTATATAAAAGATGTAACATTTTATTCATAATACTCAGTCTCACTTCTGGTTAACAAAACTCAGGACTAAAATAAATCACTGTAAATGATAACTCGGAAAGACAAACAGAAGAATAGAATACATAAGACCCAGTAAAAATATAAAACTAAAAAAAAATAAAAACAGTAAGAGCTTTATACAATGGGAACTTGGGTCTGATAAACTAGGTTCAAATAATTTTTTCCCTCATTTTCTTAACACATCTATTTAATTGGAGGCTAGGAACCATTTCTTATGCTATGTTTTCACTGCCTACAGCTCCTAGCAGTTATAAAGGAGTTGAACTCTTACAAACCCCATGAACCTGATCTGAGAATTTTCACTGTGCCACCATTAAGCAGAAGGTGAAGGAAGTTGTTAATAAAACCTAAACCACATGGCCATGAATTTGAAAACTTTTCAAGTGCCTTTTTAAACAACTCATTAACTACATCTTCACAATTCCAGCAGTCATTAATAAATGTCAGCATCTTTAAATGCCAGAATTATAAGACCTAATAAGACATCTTAATCAACAGTCTATAGGAAATATTTCTATTTTTTTGATCTTTTCCACACACAATTAATCTTTCTGATTAGTCATTCAAATCCAACATGTACGAATTATTCTAATATTGCATTTCAACATGTCAGTCTTGACCTTGGCCTGACCTCTATATGATAGCTTTGTGTTGAGATATTTGATGAATAGCTCTGGCTTTCTATTAAATCCAGTGCCACTGGTTGTCAGTAGTGATGCTCAAAAGAGGCAGAAGAATAACCAAAAAAAAAAAAATCAGAGATGCTGTGTAGGCTTTTTTCTGCCTTGGTAAATTTAGAAATAGTTCTTAGGCAATCTTCACTACCTAAACTGTTTTTCCAAGGATTAAGAAAACCAATAAAGTATGGAAATATAATTGCCAGAATACACATTGACTTATTTGGCCTTCCTGTGCCAGAAAGAAAGTAAATTTTCCTTTGGAAGACTCGTTTGATTTACACTGTCACATGGTGTTCTCAGTTTTAAGGATTTCTAACTTATTCATCCAGTTTAAGCACCTTGAAGACTAGAACTTCTATCTCTATGCCAGGGCTAGACATAGTAGGTATTCAATAAATATTTGTTAGTTTAAATTTAGACTGAACTGAATTAAAAAGCAGAGCTGAAAGAATGATTAAAAAAGAAAGAAAGAAAGACACCAGACTTTGAGATCTTGTTTCATCTCTGTGTCTTAGATCTGGCCTAGTACTCACTCAGCCATAGTAGGCTCTCAGTAAACGTTTGCTGAATGAACGCAAATCAATATTGCAAATAATGATCAGTTAATCACTCTAATGCCTTTTTAGAGAACTGTGTATAAAACATTCATGCCCATTTTAAAAAGATACATCAGTAACACCCAATCCTGCCAGCTGTTTTCCCCCTCTTTAGCTTTCCTGTTGAAAACCCATTGTCGTCGAGTCAATTCCAACTCATAGCGACCCTAAAGGACAGTGTAGAACTGCCCTGTAGGGTTTCCAAGGAGCAGTTGGTGGATTTGAACTGCAGCCTTTTGGTTAGTAGCCAAGCTCTTAGCCACAGCACCAACAGGGCTCCTCTTTAGCTTTAGCATGTTCAATTTTCCAAATTCTGATAATGTCTCCTTACTCTAAATGTATCTACCGTGTCCAAAGCTATTCCTACATGTTTTATTTTTATGGTATACCTATGAAGACAAGGTGGCAAATTATTGATTTATCTATAAAAATATATTTAGAGAGGTAATCTTAACCTGATTTAGAAGATTTGAAAAAGTGTATGTGAATATGTGGGTGAGATATATATCTATAGGTAGATATAGGTATCCACATATACACACTCTCTCAAATCGTCTAAATCAAGATTATCTTTCACATATATAATCTGTTTATTTACATTTGTACACATATATAATATGTTTATTTACATTTATATTCTTAATGTTTTGAAAGAAACTAAATATAAGTATGTAGACTTATCTATGAGCTTAACTGAGACAAGTGGCTTTTTCCCCTTTATACTTATCCTAAGTCTTTTTAATGGACATGTGATGTGCTAGTCTGTGTCCAAGCTCACCTACAATTCTTTTCTCAAAAGACAAGGCACATCTGCCACCTGCTCTACTCCGTGTCCCAGCAACAACTGTCGAGCAGCATAAAGATTGATTATCAGTCAAAAACCATTGCACAACACCAGATTTTGGTGGGTTAAGCTTGCTGATCCAGCAAGAGATGGTGTGAAATTTTCAGGAATGTGTGCCAACATTTTGGTGCTAAAAGAACAGCAGTGCATGTCACAGTGAAACACAGCCAAAGATGCAGACAAAGCAGAGAAGTTTTTTGTTCTGGACTTGGGTTCATAAAGAATAAAAGAGAAAACAAAAAGTAGGAGGAAATTAGTTTGTAGACTTAAAAATCATCCAACAAGCTTCACTTTGTGTGTAACACTGTTATTTTACGTATACAAGTCCAGGAGATATTCTAAGACTTTTAGTTATAATAATTTTTATATATCTCTTCTACAATAGCATTAATCACATAAAAGGCAATAATTTATTAATAAAAATAATTGAGGATCTTAATGAAGCACTCATTACATAAATATCTGAATTTTTTTAAAAGTCACTTTTTAGACATATGTGCTCACAGAGATTCATGTTTTGATATAAGCAGATGAGTTAATGAAAACAAAATAAAGGCAATCATATTTTTAAGTTAAAGTAGAATTTGGCAAATATATGGGTCTACACTATCACAGATGTAATTTTTACTGAGTATTACAGCAACAAGTTTCTTTACAATGACTAATTATCTTGAACTTTATATTGAATTCAAGAAATTTTTTTTTCCTGTAGATCAAGTATAATCAAAGAGAGAGAAATCCTGCTATCATTTTACACAATAGCATTAATAGAAGATGGATTTTCATCCCTTCATCTGTAATGAGCTCCAAAATTAATTTTCTCCTTCTTATGCAATTATTGCCTAGACTTGCCTTGGATTTGCCAGCTTAATAACATTTGCAGAAGAAAGTACTTCTAATAAAGTATAAAATGCATAGGGTAGTACAGCAGTTAGATACTGAATCTTCAAGGCTAAGTTCTTGTGTCATTTAAATGCGATTACCATATACAGCACTTAATAACTGACACTGAATATGACATGCTTGGAAGAATATTCTTACATAGCTGGTCTTTTTATTTCTCTGTAAAAATGTATTCTTTTCCACTGAAGAAAAAAAAGTGTATTTTAGGAAATCTCCACATTTCTGAAATGATGAAATGTTAAAAATAACAGGCTTTTAAAAAGAACTTACCTGCAAATGTCTAAGATTTTTATACATACACACACATATTTCAAGTTAAAAAAAAAAAGTCAAGCTGTAGCATTTACCTTAAAAAATTTGTATTAGAAAAATCATATGTACATAAGAATTACATGTTCACTACTGGCCACATTTTCATAATTATGCTAAATGCCATCTGAAAAAAGACCAAGAGTATAAATGAGTAAATGATACTTGAAACTTTGAACTGTTTTCTGAAAGAATAAGTCTAATGAATTATGTCTGTTGGGTGTCACAGAAACTAAACAGTAAATTCAATAATCTCTGATTTAATTTATTATATTTTCACCATTTAACCTCCTGCAGGCTCCCTAATGTCTACTCAGATCTATATTAAATTAAGCACCAATGCTAATGAAGGGCAATAAATGTGGCTGTCAGTGGATTTTTCTTTCATTAAGCACATTATCCTCTTACTGAGCTGTAAATGCGTAAACATTAGTTTTGTTAAACCATGCAAAAAGACAGGATGAAAATCATTTTTTAATTGCATCCCTTAAGCAATTTACTGTGTGTGGGGGTAGGGTGTTTTTCTTCTTCTTCTTTTTTACCTTTAATTTTTTTGAATGGATCTATAAAAGGCTCTCCGGTTGAAACATAAATGTTGGCTTCATGGGGTATATCTTTAGGTTTGAGGGCTTCAGTGCCATCTGCCAAGAACACTCGTCGTGCGGCCATGTTCAGATTCAGCCTTTCCGTGCACTCCTGCAGCAACTAGAAGCAAGCAAGAGGTAAGACAAAGTGATTTACGACAACAAAACAACACATTTCCACCAAACAAAACGTTCTAACGATCATGATAGAAACCCAATTGAGTCACTTGCCAAGTTAAGTAACTCAAGTAACTTGACCAATATAGTTATTTTCTAGCAGGTGAAAATACAGAAATAAAAGGTAAATCACAGCATTGAGAATATTTAATGATTGTCTAATTTTAGTCCTTAGATGTTTTGTCATTTTTAAAGACATTGTATCTGTTTAATTAAATACACTATGTATATATTGGTAGAAAAGAAAGGAGTGAAATGTCTGTGAGATGTACGTGTATATAAGAAATTTACAGATTTGATTATTAAAAAGAAAATGTTAACACAATAAACGCCACCTTTCTCATTTTTAAATATTATAAAGACAGTAAGGGAAGAAATAAAGCACTGAAAACTTTGGAGCACTATTTACCAAAGTGATGGTTGGTACAATAACTTTGGCAAAGACTGTTCTAGATCCATTTTTGTAAGCTGTTGCTCTAATCATTCTTGGTTGAAGTTTGAGTCTTTGAGACACTCTATGCCAGCTCCGGGCAGACTGAAATTTTAAAGAAGGGAACTCTGTAACTCTGAAGAAAACAAAACACAAAAATTGGTGCATGTTAGTAGAAACTTTTAAATAAGTATTATCCTGGATTTGTTTTACAGATCTAAATCCTAAAGATTGTTCCTATGTATTTAAGTATTTGCCAAAAAAAATGTTTTTATAGGATATATTGTCCCTATCTAGTTAAATATTCCAAACAAATTGAAAGAAGAAGTTTGCCAAAACAGCTCATATAAAACACTTATCTCAGAATAAATCTTTTTTTTAATCATTTTACTTATAAAACATCATAACACTCATTTTTAAAAATCATATATATTTCTATCTGCTACACTCTGATAGAAAGCAAAATTATAATACGGTCTTATGTTAATAACTAAAAATTACAATATATAACAATAACAAATGGGTTTTTTCCTTCTTTCCTGTTCATGAAAGTTTTTTTTTAAAAAACTGTGTAAAATTCAAATAGATTATAACTAAAATTTGATGGTAAAGGTAATTATAACTGCCTTCATTTCAAATTGTTTGGGGGCAATAAGAGTTAAGATTCTTTTTATACATTTTGTCCTCAGTCAAAACTAGTTTTGATCTTTATTATTTTCTAGGCAAAAGTACAAGGTAAAATTGACTAACTAACATGCCAAATTTTTAATCTCAGAGTTCTCTAACTAACCACATTAATTCTCAATGCCACAGAAGCAAAGTAAACACTTTAAAATAAAAACTTCAGGTAAATTAAAATCACTAATACATATGTTCAAACATCTGAAAATAATGGAGTATGAGTTTCTTGAGGTGATTTTTATTTTTACCAACATTTTCTTCTGTTCATAAACTTTAGGGTAACAGTTTCTGATAACAATCTCTATGTGAAAACATATATACAAAATGGTTTTATAATAAATTCATGTTAATTCCATTTTGTTTTGAAATATTGGTTAAATATCCAAAGTATGCATTTCTATTCTTAAACAAATATCCTGTAAGCAAAGATATTTCATGGGTTGATTAGCTTGATTAGCTTGATTCTGCTTCAAATATTCTTTTCAGAATTTCAGATTAACCAGGTTGAAGTATATCTCGTTTTCCACAAGCGTAATTAGCAACACTCTACTCTGGTGTTTTCAAAGGAAAAAAACAAAAACACAAACAAAACCCTAGAGATGTGTTACATTTTAATGTCTGAAATAGTCAATTGAATCATTATAAATTCTGCTCAAAGGAAATAGCTTCAACAGTCAGTTAAAAAGAACAGAGAACAGCTTTGATTACCTCAGTTGACCCACTGGAGCACTGACAGGTCTGTTTCTCTTGGATGCTGATATAAGACAAGAATTGTTTTTACTGTTTGATTTGTAGCTATCTAGGGCTGATATTTCGTCATGGCTGTGATCTGATACTGTTTGATGTGTGGAGCAATCTTGAAGTCCTGACCCTTCTGATACCACTGATGAATGCAAAAGTCTGCTGGGGCCAAACTGAGGCTGCAAATAATCTTCAGTAGTTTTAATAACTGCTTTTGCCTGTGATGACATAAACTCCCTGAAAGAAACAAAGCATGAAAGAATACAATTAAATGATGTTTAATCATTTATTAACTACTATTTAATAACTAATTATGTGCTATGTGCTAGACACAATACTATGCACTTAACAGACATTGTTTTGTTTAATCCTTACAATATCCCTGGAAAGTGGGTAGAATTTTTATCTCTTTTTCAGATTTAAGAAACTGAGTCTCAAAGAGGTTAATTAACTTGCACAAGGTCACATAATCAGTAAGCAATAAGGTAGAAACTCAAGCCCAAGCCTGTCCTAAAATAAAACCCATGCTCATAACCCTTCCTTAAACTAAAGAAGAAAGTTTGTGTAATCTTTGAAAGAATATAAGTACACATTTTAAATTATTTGATTCACTTTTTAAAACACTAGTACTCTACTAAGTGCTAGGGAATACACATGTTAAAGGTATGGGACCTACCCTAAAGAAGCTTGCAAACTACTCCCCGATAGAGAATATGTGTTAACTGCTTATAACTGAGTGCATATTAACCTTGAATGCAAAAAGAATTCGTTGAAGGTGAGTTTAGTGTGGGCTTGAATAAAGTTGTAAAGGCTTCACAGCAGACCTGGGATTAGGGCAACCTAACTTGCTCAGGACTGTCCTGATTTTAGCACTGAAAGACATATTTTGGGAACTCTCTTAGTCTTAGACAAACTAGGACAGTTACTAATCTTTCTTGGAATTTAAGATGGAGGGGTAGCATTTAGATGAACACAGGGAGAGAGGGAAAGGAATGCAAGTAGGAATAAGCACAGCATGAATGATTAGGAGACTTACTTAAAGGAAAAAAGCAGAAGGTGGCTTGAGAGAGGATAGCAGGAAGTTTGACTTATGTAACTTGGAGCTTAATCACGAAGGGCCTCAAAAGGAGTCATCACTCTGCCTAACTGAAGGCAAGCTATTTTTGAAACTGGCATCTTTATTTCTTCAACTATAAACTAAAATGTTTTATAACCAATGTTCCCTCTAATATTTTAAGTTGTGAGCAGACAACTACGATGTGTCAACAGAGGACTACATGACCGAGGGCAATACATAAATCTATACAAGTACCAAGTTAGGTAGATGAAATAGACTGTTGTTGTGTGCCCTCGAGTCACTTCCAACTCATACCGACCCCACAGGACAGAGGAGAACTGCCCCCACAGGGCTTCCTAGGCCATAAATCTTTACAGGAGCAGATCTCCAGGTCTGTTCTCCTGCAGAGCTGCTGGTGGGTTCGAGTGCTTTAACCAGGTATAGAGTTTACAGGTATCATAAAATAAAACATGCATCAACATATTTGAGAATACTGTGCTGTGTGGTGATCAGGCATACAGGATAGTCAGCTTCTATACATTACTGTAATTAGGACTATTTTTACACAAATGAAATTTGTCTCTTTTCAATTTGCTAGTTCCTCAATAGGTTTTATACATAATATAACTCCCTCCCCTCAATTATAAATGAACATATGCTGGGTGTTGAAAGCTCTACAGGGGCAGCCCCTCCTCCAAATGTTTCTCATCTACAAATGTCATTATAATCACAATTATTTCTCCTAGACTGCCCTCTTTACGATCATGAATGTGTAAAATGGTTAAGTTTTTTCCTCTGAAAGAAAGGTAGTGAAATGCCACAAGAAAATGTGTGCGTGTGTGTGTGTTGACATAGTCAGTCAAGGAGAGGTAAAACACTGGAACCCAAGCAGCTGTGTTTTATTATTGTTGCTGTTGTTGTCACATATTTCTATCTAGTTTTGTCCTGGACTGAGAGTAATACTGGGGAGAGAAGTGACCTTCCCTACACTCTGAGGATCCTTCCAGGTTCAAAACTGTGGAAAACAGCATCTTAAATCGTACTTGAACTCTAGCTCTGGCAAAGGAGGGACCTCCCTTCAGACCACCTGAGCTATTCAGATTTTGCCGACAGTGGTGAGCGGTGGCATGTGGTAGCAGTTAGGTCACAGTGGCGGCATTTCCACAGCAACAGCAATGGGTGTGCAAATGGCCACCATGCTCTTGAACCTGGAGGAAGAGCAAGAAACAGCCAGGAGGAAAGGTTTGCAGATCTCATAAACAGTCCCCAGAAATTACTTACAGAGCAAAATCTCATGTGCAAAACAGGACTCCCTACTTAAAAGCAGAATGAAGTATCTCTTTTTTCATGAATGCATTGTTTATTGTCAAATATTTTTACAAATAAACTAATGATTTTTTTGATACAATCATTCTTTTTTATTTATTTAATTGTACTTTAGATGAAGGTTTACTGAACTAGCTTCTCATTAAACAGTTAGTACACGTATTGTTTTATAACATTGGCTAACAACCCCACAACATGTCAACACTCTCCCTTCTTGACCTTGGGTTCCCTATCACCAGCTTTCCTGTCCCCTCCTGCCATCCGGTCCTTGCCCCTGGGCTAGTGTGCCCCTTTAGTCTCATTTTGTTTTATGGGCCTGTCTGATCTTTGGATGAGAGGTGAACCTCAGGAGTGACTTCATTACTGAGCTAAAAGAGTGTCCAGGGGCCATACTCTCGGGGTTTCTCTAGTTTCCTTCAGGCCAGTAAGTCTGGTCTTTTTTTGTGAGTTAGAATTTTGTTCTACATCCTTCTCCAGCTCTGTCCGGGACCCTGTATTCTAATCCCTGTCAGAGCAGTCAGTGGTGGTAGCCGGGTACCATCTAGTTGTACTGGATTCAATCTGGTGGAGACCATGGTAGTTGTGGTTCATTAGTCCTTTGGAATAATCTTTCCCTTGTGTCTTTAGTTTTCTCCCTACTCCCTTGCTCCTGAAGAGGTGAGACCAGTGCAGTATCTTAGATGGCTGCTCACAGGCTTTTAAGATCCCAGACGCTACTTACCAAGGTCGAATGTAGAACAGTTTCTTTATAAACTATGTTATGCCAATTGAGCTAGATGTTCCTTGAGACCACGGTCCCCACAGCCGTTAGCCCAGCAATTCAGTCCCTCAGGGAGTTTGGATGTGTCTATGGAGCTTCCATGACCTTGCCTTGTACAAGTTGTGCTGGCTTCTCCAGTATTAATGATTTTTAATGTAATAATTCATTATCTTACCTTCACAAAGCAAAAGGTTTTTACTTTTCCATATTCCAATGTTTCAAACTTACTATTATTGCTTCAATTATATACTTTGTCTTTTTTACTTAACACTGTTTTATAACTTTTTCCATGTTGTTATATGGTCATTATATATTTTACTGAAATGTAATCTTCTATCAACTATATTTTGCCTTCCTCTAGTCATTGTAAGGGCTATCTATTAATTTTGTCCGCCTCGCATCTCCTCTCCCTGTCTTCTGGTAATAGCACTCTCATGTTTTGGGAAAGTCTCCATCCCTTCCCCCTCTTCACTCCATATAATTCTGATATGGTTAGGGTGTAAATTATAAGAGATTTATCTAGTAAATGGTAACAAGAATTAAAGTAGATGATGCTACTATATATTTTTTACCTGCTTTTATTTACTTAATTAATACTATAAAGAAAGGAAAGGGGTAGTTCTTCACGTTAAAAAGTCACTATTGGTCCACCATTTGTAGTCTTCAGCTTTAATTTGTTTTATTAATGGTGATAACAGGTTTGCATTAGTTCTTACACATTCTCAAACTCTTCTTTCTAATAACAATGTGTGTTTCCTAGTCGTTGGGTATTTGAGAGGATGACCACAGAACATGGAAGCCAACTTATTCCACATGAGAATTAAATCCACATACTTGGTTTATTAAATAACTGATGCTTAAACTGAGGGTGTTAGGATTTTTCAGCTTGCAAGGAACAGAGAGGCATTTGTGTTTCAGATGACAGAAGTTATTACCAGGTTATATAGAAAGTTAAAAAAGGAAATAAAACCATTCTACCAGGCCACAGAGAGAATTGGAACGTCATTCATTTCTGTCCAGGATACAATAGTGACTCAACAATACCTCTAATAGTCAACCATGTTTTTTGACTCAGCAACCCCATCCCTCCTTCTGTGTCTATGTGCTTTCTTTTCCTACATCATTATTGCCTAACTTCCCTCTGTCTTCCTCCTCACTCCCTCATGGCTTCTGCTAACTTTTTCGATGTATCTCCCTACTTCTATGCCACACTACTTTCTGCAAACTCTGTCTGTATGACTCACATCCAAATTCCCCAGAGTTTAATTTCATCACTACTCAATATAGGACCACTGTTGGTTAGAAGTCTCCAGCTAGGAAACCTTATAAGCCACTGGCAAGCCTGTGGATGGGAAGGTACCTATCAGTGGCCCAACCAACTATTAATAAGATAGCAGAAAAACAAGGTTCAGTGAAGGTAGGGTAAGATGGGCTCTCAGATGCCTCACAAAAGAAGAAACATAACCGGCAGGGGACTTGTATGGCCTATCTGATATACTGAGATAAGAAGAAATACTCTATATTGATTGTTTGAATAAGTACTCACTAAAATACATTACACAAACTAAATCAATATCAGAAATGTTTCAATCTAACAACTATCAAAATGCTGCTTTGATTTTCCTGGTTATTTTAATATTAATCTTTCATTTCTAATCACAGAGGAACGTAAGAATATAGTACTACCATTGTAGGCCCAGTTTCTGGAACATCTGGCCCAATAGTTTGTTGGAAATGTTGACCGAAAGGGTTGTAGGTTGCAAAACATGATTGTCCTCCTTGATGCCAAACTTAAGGGTAAGGAATTTAACCTAAATGACTGCCAGCATGAATACTCCATCATCATAATGCAAGAGTGTATTCCCCTCTCAAAGTTCTCCCCTTTATTTATGAGTATCCCCAAAAGAGTTCCCTTTTAGGAACTTTAGTAAATTCCTAAAAGTGCCTCCTAAGTCCCTATAAAAATCTGTTGCTGAGAATCACCAACTCTCTTCCTCCCCTCACTGCCTCCTTGCTGGCCCTGTGCATCACAGAACAATGAAGTTTATGCCAAGGTGCTGCCTTGAAATGTTCCCAAAAATTCTAGTGCTTGAG